CACACACACACACACACACACACACACACACACACACACACACACACACACACAGACGAGCTATAAACATCCTCGGCTCCACATATGAAAAAAGATAAAAATAACACCAGTAAAAAACCTCAGTTTGCTCTCTGGAGCTGCACGCAGACGAATATTATAAAAAGGACTAAATGACAACAAATAAGGGCCTGCATGAGGCGCGTGCGTTTGTGTTCAACACGTGAAGCGGCTGCAGACCAGGCCCCAGACTCTGCGGTTTTGCTGCAACAGCTGTACGGCTGTCTGCACACTAGGTGTTTATTTTTTCTTCTTCCAAAAAAAAATTTAAAATAAAAATTTTTAAAAAATGTGACAAGGATGCGACATGCACAGCTCCCAAAAGTCACAAAATGCTGCGCCACAACACGCTTTGATCCAGAATCACAGCATCAGCTGATAGGGAGAAGTGTAGTAATTATTATTGGTGCAGCTGCAACCTATTACTTATAGTCTGAGGCAAACTTATTGGAAAAAATAGAGGAACAATTATATAGGAGCTTTTCTGCAAAAACTGCAGTATTTCCCAGAAATTAAGAAGGAAATAAAATATTGGATCATCTAACGCGTCCAAACAGCCACCAGTTTTACCATCAAGTATTGAAACAAAAATGAACAGCAACCACTTTCATCTTCTTAAAATACACGTTTTGTAATAGAAAACAACAATTTTGCAATTTGCCAACCCCTTAAAACGCCATTTTAACCCTTCACCAGCCAGAGAAGTCGCCTAGAAATTTGTTTCCACCATAATCGGTGCTGACAGCGTCGCTCACACGTTTCATTTCAGCAAAAGCAACAATGGTGGTAGGCAGAAAAACAGATATATTCATAGAGAGGGTGGACTGGAGGGACGTTTTCAACTCAAACAGGACACGATGGTTACTTTTCCTTTAATGGGTGCAAACCAAAACAAGTGAGCAGACAATAGTGGCGAGTCTGGGTTTGCACACTGCAAAAAATACGCACGAGGGAAAAGGTTGCTTTTGTCCTAAAAGATGTATCATAAGGAAATTGTGTTGTTGTTTTGCTTTATCTTGGCATTAAACAATGTAGCTCTTCTAATTAGTTTATGGGGAAAAAACACACTTTCTATGAAGGGAAATTAGTAAAGAAAATAATATTAAAAATAGACTTTTAGGTAGACTGGAGAGGGGTTTTTTTGGACAAAAATGTCTGGTTTACGCAGCGCACAAAGGCTCTTATTATAATTCAGCCTCTGAAAATGGTGTCATTTCCTCCAGACTTCCCTGTTTTTGCTGGGAGGTTAGAGGCCAAGCCCAGGCGGTGCAGGGCCTGTCTGTGGATCTATTGTCTGCTGCTTATTTAGCGCTCAACGTTTAATCTGCGCTTCCTCTCACAAGTGAGAAACAATCGCAGCGTGAGAGTGGCCTGTCTAATTACATCTTTCACTCTCAACTTTCACTCTTTGGACTTGTGATGGGAAGCAGGCGGGTGTTGGGCCAGCATCAGACTGGAAATTAAGCAAAAAAATAAACAAATAAATAAACAAATCCAAGAAAAGCGCGTTATTTTGTCTTTCTTTACCTCTTAAAAAGAGGTTAAGCGTGTGCGAATTTGAACATTTAGCCAAATTATTTTTCAAAGAAAAATCAAAGCACTTAACTGTTCTGCATATTTGCAAAACATAAAAAAAATCATGAGAGAAATTATTTTAAAAGGATTATGACGATTTCAGGATAAAAGTTGTTTTAAAGCAAAACAAGCTTAAATGAAAGGACAGACGTGTCACAGATTCACAATAAAACCAGCTTGCATGGCTCATAGGCAACGTGAGAAAAAGTATTTACACTAAAATGATTATTTGGCAAAAATGAGAAAAATTTGGATTATTTTAGAAATGTGGATCTGTTTCTCCAAATCCAGTAACCAAGACAGTAAATGTTTCTAATAATAATAAGAAGGGGAAAAAAAGGAAAGATGCTGCAACKCTACCGATCACATCTCCTGAGTCTCCGTCTGCTCATCAGGTTCCCCTCCCTCCTCCTCCCTTCTCTTCACGCGCAGCTCGGGCTCGGTTCCTCCCGAGTCGCCCCTCTCTCTCTCTCTCCGCGGCCGCTGGCGCCCCGGGGATGAGGAAGGGCAAAACTTCGGTCRGCAAAGTTATACTCAAAGTTTTGTCTTTGGCGCGGCTCTGGATCCCGAGCGGCGCGCACAAAACAGTTTGTTTGCATCACTGATTTCTTTTAAAGGGATACGGACCCAGTTCTGGGGTGGACCCGCAGCGTCGCGACAGGGGGAACACACAAGCGCGTGGAAAATACTCAACACGCACGCATTTGGCTGCGTTCTGGTCCCCCCTTTAAAAAAAAACATCTAGTATTTAGGTTGATGAGACAAAACAAAAAGCAGAGTTAAATTCCATAAATAGTAAATAGTAATGCACTGTTGCTGTGGCTTATGCACCTTAATAAAGAAATCTTTTGGTTAAAATGTGAACATAAAGACTGTTTTTTTACTTTCTTTTCCAGAACGACCTGTTTGCAACTTACAATGTTTGCATTTTACCCTAAAGAATTGAACCCACACTTTAATTTGGTGCACCATATAAGGAATAGCAAGTATTATCTGCCATAAAAACCACAACTGAACAACCATCCAGGTGATATTTCACTAAATGCTCATATATTTGACCCTAACAGGTCCAATGATAGTGTTTGTTTACAAAAGCAGATTTTTTTATCTGGTAATGAGATGTTTATCCAAACTGCGCATCTGTTGTTAGAATTAAACCATGCACTGAGATTTGTTTTAGTGCATTATGACATACTGAAAACATGTCTCCCATAAATATAATTAAGAATGTTTGCCCTGCAACTATAAAGGACCCCGGGGGTCCTCCTTGCTTGCTCACTTTGCCAAGCGATGCTTCAGTCTCTCTATTGTTTTTGCGCACTAACTGACGCGCGTATTTCCGAACTAGACCTCCTCCTGAAACAGGATAAAAATAAATAAATAAAGTTAAAATATGCCACTGCTTCCCAGATGAACATTTCGGGAGTATCTGGGCGCATGCATTGGATTTAAATGAGGCTTCCTCTCCGTTAACTCCGGGACTCTTTTCTCTTTTACTCAAAGCGAGGGATGGGCGTTTGTAAGACCTGCTCTTGGAGTTGCGCGTCACGTGGCCCGGTTTCTGGCGTCCGATTGGTGCGAGGCACGTGTCGGGGAGGACGGTGSGAGAACGTCACTCGGGGGTGCTCGCATTGAAAATAAGAACAAAACTCCAGAGTGRGAGTATTAGGGCATCAGTTTAGGAGCCTCTTTATTTACCCCCCTTTAGTTTAGTTTAGGTGTTAGGCATCGCCGTGGACGCGCAAAGCGGATGGCGCTCTGAATTGGACGGAGCGCAAATGGCAAATGATTTTAGCTCCAGTTGTAACCCGAGTTTGAGGGAATGTATGTGAAAAAATATGCTTTTCTCAAAGGACACTAACGCAAGGCTTTGCATGGTGTCCAAGGCACTCACTAGTATTTGAGATTTTTATTTATTTATTTTTTCCCTCGTGCAGTTTCTTTTCATATTATTATTTCCATAAAGTTCTTCGCGAATTTCCTTGCCGCGGAGGGCGCAATAAAGGGGCGAAGAGCGTAAAAAAAAAAAAAAAAGCGGCGAAAGTGAATCAGTATGGAAGAAAATGGTCACGGCGACAGAGACGAGCGGCAGGAGTCGGCGGACGAGTCCAACAGAGCCATCCTTCCCCTCCTACAGGCGCCGGGGAACCAGCAGATCCCTCACCGGGTCACCAATTTCTTCATCGACAACATCCTGCGGCCGGACTTCGGCCGGAAAAAGGACGCGGGCGCGCCGAACCGGGAGGAGAGCAGCAGCCCGGCGTCGCGGGAGAGCCACAACAGCCCCGCCGCACCTCAGACTGAGCCGGTGGGCAGCACGGTGCCGGCGGAGGGGACCTCCACTCCGCACGCGGTCACCGGGTCCAAAAAGCCCGCAAAAGCAGCCGAGGAGCCCCTGAAAGCCCGCGGAGAGAACGGAGACCAGTGCCTGAGCTCGGACTCGGACAGTTCCCAAGCCAGCTCGAACCAATCCGCGTCTCAGCCCATGCTGTGGCCAGCCTGGGTCTACTGCACCAGATACTCGGACAGGCCTTCTTCAGGTTGGTGCCATATGCGTTTTTTCCCCCTCTCATCCCGTATTCTCTGTAACCTGAAATACCCCGTAACACTGACCCCGGATGGCTTGACCGACTTCTCGCTTGCAGAGTAGAGCAGGGTGCAGCGCAGACTGAGAATCCACAAACCATAAATCACTTTTATTATTATTATTAGTGAAATATTTAAGCATCAAAGACAGATCGCATAAAGATTCATGCACACTACAACGTAGAAGAAAAAAAGTACCATATATATTAAATTTAAAACCACGCTCTAGTGGGAGGAGGCCTATTTAAAAATGTAAACAAGAATCCTCTTTTTAAAGAGCAAAACTTTATTAAAATCTATCCAACAAAATGCGTAAAAATGACACATTTTGGAACCGTTACGCACAGAATTCTTCTCACAGAAACAATCCAATTTGGCGATTTTTAAAGCAAATGTATTCGAGTTTTGAGCAGACTACCGTCAGGGTTGTAAATATAGTAAACAGAAGCGTGGCATCCTTCCTGGGGAATGTACAAGTTAGTAAAATTTTACATTTGGTGCACATGTGGTGCTTTTTTTGCGTTGCAATAATATAGTTTTGGAATACTACACAATTGTGCACGCTTTYATGTTTTTAATGGGCTAAGCTGGACGGCAGTGATTATTCTGTGATGCTACCTTTAATGTAGCTACTAACTTTATTTGTGAGAAAAGTCCCTGAAGTTTCTGATCTTGTTGTAAAAGTTAGTGAGTCAAAAAAATTCTTTGCGTCTCTCGAAAAGTGGAGTACAACTTGTTCTCATACATTATGTAACGCCATATAGAGTGGCGTGGGCGACTACTACGAGTAGCAGGGCTGCAGTTTTCACATGGGCTGCTTGTGGGGAAAAAAACATGCACGCTGATTCATGAAGCTCGACTCGTTTTGTGTTGTTTCATTAATGTTTTGCACGCTGTTTGGAGGAGGAGACCATCCACTCAAACAGGCCTCCTTCCAAATTGGAGAAAGAAAAAAAACATTGTGTCTCTAAAGTGTGCTTCTCAAATTCTGTGCACGTTTAGTTCACTGGGGAGCTTTTTAAAAGTGGCCCACAAAAAATGGTTTGCTGCACAAGAATTGATCCTGGGTTTTTAACTAAACTGCAACGCAGAAACTGAGCTGCGTCAGCGACGCTTTTCCAATGTTATTGACTAAAAATAATTTATTACTAGATGTATTTCGGTGTGCGTGCTTGCGTGCGTGTGTGTGTATGATGGATGTCTATGTGTGCAGAAGAGGAAGGAGGATAGCAACAGGGAGGTGCTTCAGCTTCTTGGGTTGTTTCTTCAGGAGCAGTGCCAACATTTTACCATAATTTTCATTATTTTTATGCATACAAATTTTAAAGAAACAAACATACTTGATATGTTTACAATATGTTTACATCTTTCTTAATTTTTTTTTTGCTATTGCAGCCCATCCATTAATAAATAATTATAAAGCCACCATAAAAGGCATTAAAAATCTTTGTTTGCRAGTATTTTGAGGCGATTGTAATAAGTTTGAAAAGGCGAACATGTGCGTAAAATGCACTTTACGCACGTGTTTGGAGTACATTTAAAGACACTGACTGCGCTGAATACAAATCGGGGAATAGTAGTAGTTAGTCACGTGTGGGCAAAGCACTTTTATAAGGCTAAACTCAAAATAATTATAAACTATTTTTAATGTTTTTATCAAGATTTGCGCATAATTATCTCTTAGTTAAGATTTGTTTTTATGGCATGTTTTTTTTTCTTTGTTAATTTTTATTTATTTTTAGTTCACTAATGATCCGAGGTTCAAATTGTAACAAACAACTGCATGTGTCTGTGCTTGTCCCCTCTCAACACCAACAGGGCCGAGATCTCGCAAACCAAAGAAGAAAACGACCAGYAAAGAGGACAAGCGACCACGGACGGCCTTCACAGCGGAGCAGCTACAAAGACTCAAATCCGAGTTCCAGACAAATCGGTACCTGACGGAGCAGAGGCGGCAGAACCTGGCGCAGGAGCTGGGCCTGAACGAGTCCCAGATCAAGATCTGGTTTCAGAACAAGCGGGCCAAAATCAAGAAGGCCAGCGGCACTAAAAACAGTCTGGCCTTGCACCTGATGGCGCAGGGACTGTACAATCACGCCACCGTCACGTCAAAGGACGAAAAATCAGACAGCGATTGAGATCCTGAAAAAAAAGCAGCCTCCATGACGAAAAAGAACCTATAGTAATCCTATGATAGATTTTTATAGAGATTAAAAAAACACTACTTACAGGTATATTTAATGTTGCAACAGCAGATACTATAACTCACCTAAACGGATGTACAATGGCTCCACAACACCATAACAAACACATAGAAACGATAAGGTCACTACCACCACTATTTCTAACACTACCATAGGTTTCTGTAGGTTCCTATGGGATATTATAGTGATTTTTTCGTTTTATGGGAGGCTTAATCAAGCCTTCAATGCAATAATATGACCGAAAAAAGGGCCAGTGTATACCAGCATAAATTGTTTAAAAAAAAACATAACAGAGATATTTCTGCAATATCACGTCTATAAAAGATGTTGTATAAAGTTTTGTTTTTTTGTCGTCCCAGCCCCTTTCCTGGAGAAACAAATGTTCACAATATTCATTTTTATATACAGCTATTCATGATTGTCACCATTTTACACTGAACTGGCACTTGACGTTTTAGATTTGTCAGTGAAATGGGGTAAAAAAAAAAAAAAAAAAAAAGAAAAAATCTGAAGTCCAAAGAATTTTTTTTTTTCTGCTGCATCCAGGCTGCTGTGATTTTACATAAATGCTAACACAGTTCTGTTGCCATGCTTGCTGGTTTTCTTGGTGTAAAACTGGACATATGAAGGTGTTGTGTATCAGCTGCAGAGCTAATTGGGCAGTAYTTTATTATTAATATTATTATTATTTTTAATACAGTTGGTTTTAGGTGGATAGAATTAAATTTTAATCCCTTAACTACAAAGTTACAGGCCTCGCCTGAACGATTCTCTCACAGCCTTTAAACAAATGTGTAAACTCCTTGTTTTGCCAACGCATCRGTGCAGCTATTGTTGTTTTAAATAGCAATATTCATTTTTTTGTAGCTAAATGAAGGCTAAAATGCTGCCTCTGAAGTCACAGAAACAACTCTGTAGCATAAAGACAATGATGGCAACCATTTCTGCGCACTCTKTCCTCTACACGCAGGTTTCTTGGATGTTCTTGGTAAATCTTTCTCTATATACATTTTTTTACATATTCGTATATCATTAAAAGAAGGGAAATCTGCCAGTGACTGTATTACAAATGTTGGAAATCTCTTATTGTTGTTGAAAGGACTTCATATGTGTATTTATATAGATTCTATTGAGAAAAAAAATCTATCCAATGACCAGTGTTGCTTTAGAGTAGATATCTGAGGTGTTTACACTGCTTGTTTATCTTGCAATAACTTCTTTTTTGTTTGTTTTCTTTTTTTGTTATTTTTGTGAATGAAAAAAWTTGTTTATGGGGCCTTTTTTGCATGAAAGCTGCAATTTGTTGTACTTGGGCAAATAACTGTGYTTATAAACTTTGGTCTTTATCGACAAAAGTATGATGGAGCTAAGTTTTTTCAGACTGCATCCATACCAAATTATGACCGTATTTCTTCTTTTTTTTTCTTTCCTTTCAAAGTGTTTTTCTCTTTTCTTTCTTTTTTTTTTCTGTTGTGTATCTGCAAAAAGTGTGTGTGAAATAAAAGTCCACCAAACCTAAAACACACTTTGCCTTAAAAGTTCAAGTGGGAACTTTTTTTTTTCTGAAACAGAACTGTGCCGAATCAGAGAAGCAGTATTACTTCAAATGCAGACTACTCAAGTTTATTGCCTTTATGAAAACTTGCTGGTACGACATTATGAATTTACTCATCAGCGTATATCTATCTATATATGAACATGTTTAAATGAAATTACGACACAGAGTTGTAGAATACGATGCTATTTTTTATTTTATGTTGGAAGTATTCTTTGGTATAAATGTACATAATTTGTATCATGTATTAATTGTGTAATTAGCTGCCTCCTGAAAACTGCAAAAGAAGAGTAAAAAAAATAAACCTTGAAGATTATACACACACCTGACTTCTTTGTGCGTTGCTCTCGTAAACACAAGGTCTGACTGAAGATGTGCAACAAATCCATCAGTCTGGATTGTCTACATTGACTTTTTATTGGCTCAAACTGTAGAAAATAATAAACACAATAAAAAAATCCACAAAATTGATCACAGGCATCAGTAGCTTGTTTTGCACAACAATTTATTTCATGCAAACATTGGCCGTCAGGATCAAATGCATAGTGTCTGAGATTAAAACATTTGCAAAAAAAAAACATAGAAAAACATTGAAACATTATGCAAGTGGAAGACTTGAACAATTCCCAGGCATGTTTCCTCAACAATGCCTTATCTGCATTTCCATACTTGCACCGCTAGTCTTTGAACGCCATGTCTAACGGTCAGTGACTATAGGCATTAGAGCAGATAGGGCTGCTGCCAGCACTGTCTTCGAGACGGTCAGTCTTCCTCGCCACCTCTGAAAAGAGCTTCTATCACAAGGCAGAAATGGGAGCAGAAAGGAGGGGCGGGAGGTGTGTGTGTGTG